AGCGCTTATGGAGAGTGCCCCCACCAGAGTGTAGCTGACAGCCAACTCAGCGTAGGATTCAGCTCAACTTCAACCCAAGCAGACTTCATTTTTTTCTGGTCTTTTTCCGGTGACCAGCGAGGTCAGGGAACTATGTCTAGCCAGAAGGAGTAATTGTTGGGTTTTACGGGGATCGGGGCGCACTGCTATCGATTACCTTCTCTCTGAATCGAAGAAGATACAGTGAGCTAACTTTTCGAAACGCTGGGTAGAAAAGCTCAATACCTCCCTTATAAATGAAGGACAAGAAAGATGAAATTCCCGCCGTCGGTCGATTCGCCTTCGGGAAGCGACACTCCCCTACCACTCAAGGGAGGGAGGGGGGGATGTGAATACCGCATGTTCTGGGCAACGAATCGAGAGGGTACCTGATGTGAAGGTCAGTATTGAAACTTTTTAACTTTCCAACACAAATCTGGCGCCATTTTGCTGGACCAGGATGGATGGTTGACTCGGTTGGTCCGTGTGGGAGCCGATCCAATGGGAATTGGTTCCCGGAGGCACCTGCTAAGGTAAGCAGGCTCTTACTCCATCTCCTTCTCCAAAATTCCTGCGAATAGCATAATAAAAAGCGTGAAGCTTGGCACTTGGCGTCAAACGAGTTCTGCTAGATAACTCACGTATTTTTGTATCCATTTGAAATGGTTACTTCATCTTTATGCCCGAACTTTATGCCGGCTTCTTGCTGGATCCAACTAATAGTCCTAACTTCATGGTTCTACTTTCCCATGTTTGTCTAGTGGCACCTAACTGTCACTGGAAAAAAGATCTGACCTTGGTGAATGCTACAGTGATCCAACGCGTTCAAATAATCGACCAAATGGTCACCTTCACAACGACGGATTGGTGAAGGCTCAAAAGGACAAATAGCAAGGTTGGGAAATCGCCCGACCCGTTCGCTCCTGATCTGGAGGTAGACGACGCAAAAAACGCAGAACACAGAATTTACAGAGAGGAAACTCCGGTGAGCGTAAGGTGTCGCAGAATGGGGGAACCATACTTTTCCGAAAAGGTTTACGTGACATCTTGAACTTTTGTGCACGGCCCTGTAGCGAAACCATGAGACGAGACAGATAGAGGATTGCGCCTGCCAAAGCATGGAAATGTTCAGAAAACATATGGCAATTCAGGATATTGGCTTTTCAAAGGGAGGAACTCCGGGGGACGTGAGTCATTATCATCCGAGAGAAGCTGGATTGTCTGAGGCCACAATGACCATAGAATGCCATACAGATGAGCGAGAGCAGAGAATCGACGCATTGAAGGGGATTAATTTCAAGTTGTCCTTAGACTGCTGGGCGAACGAATTCAATATGTAAGCGCTACAGCAAAAATGCAGCAAGTCTCATATTAGGGAGATTTCCTAAGCACACCCCTTTTCAGAGGCTGGCATTTTAGCAAAAGCTCCTCCGAAGTTTTGCCAACCGCAAGCCTTCGACCACTATCAGAAAATAGTGAAACCGCAAAAAAAATGAAAGTCAAGGGAGAAGAAGTATAGGGCATGTGAAGTGGGAAAATCAGTAGTCAGGGGAAGTTCTAAGCTTTTTTGCCGGCTCAATACGACCGCCCTGCCCTCCAGCGACCAAAATGCACCGGGATCACACGTACGACGTGGCCTATGCAAATATAAGGAGAAACATATTTCCCGAATGACTATAGCTTTTTATGATTGTTTCTTGAAGCTCCTTCAAGTATTGAGACTTGCACTATGGCTCACCTCGAGTACTGAATAGACAATAAATTCACAAAAAAATCAGGAAATTCAGAGGGAAGATTTATGTAGCCGGTATGCCAAAAGTTAAGCTGCTACCCTTCTTCACCGTGACCCAGAACAAAAGGGGCACAATTCGGCCTGGTGGAGGCATTTTGCCGACTCACATCGATCACTGTCGATGCCTCCTGTGGATACCTTCGAATTCCAGTAGAAGCTATGCAGTAACAGTAGTCTCGCTTACACTTGATTAGAAACAATTCTACAGATCCCATGAGGGTGGAACATGGAATTTAACAGAACTAGCAGAAAGAAACATGTGGAAGTGTATGCCAGCATCCTGACCGAACAGCGTTTGAAAAGAGATTTGACAAGAATAGAAGAAAAGAAAACCTAGGCAACCAATAGTCCGCAAAACGTCAGTATATTATCAAAGTATCGATAAGCAGAGTGTTTATGACAGGCATAGCAGTTTCAGAGCAGCTGCTGAAAGAAAGTTCTTGTATAGACGGTTTAATAATCTATCGCCAAACGAAGCTGACTGACGACCTGACTTGATGGACGATTGCGTGTGAGTTGCGACAGGTGCAATTTATGGAGTCGATAGCCCATCTTTAATTGGACAGATGGCTTTAAGTGGATCGCTACTCGCACGGGATTCGTCGATAGACTTTTTTATTGCCGTATTGCTTATTTATTCGTCAAACTGATTACCAGTACATCATTTGAATGTCATTGGTTCTATAAAATGGGATGAGCGAGGTTGTGACTGAAAAGGAGAGCGGGTCAATACACTGACGCCCTGGGATCCAATCAGAGCCTCCTTTTGAGGATGACAAATTGGTACCACGTAAGTCTGGGAGGATAAAACACTGAAAAGTACGTCGTCTGGTTCTCGCAGTTCATTGTGTGAGCCATATAGCATTTATTGCCACTACGATTCTCAATGGGATAACCCGCGTGTCAAAAAAGGGGTGATCGTCGGAAAGAGCTCCATCTTTCATCCTTTATTATGGTTGGAGTAGAGCAAGAGTAAGCGACTGAAAGTAAAGCAGTGACTTGAAGACTAACTGCCCCTGGCACTTACCCTATGCGTGAAAATTAGACACATGAGTGCCTGAGAGGCGGAGGGGGGAGGGTTACATCCACATTGTGGCAAATGTGACAAGAAAGACAAGATGGTAGAGGTACACAGTCGCTGTTACATTCCGCGAGAATCTAATGGGCGGAGACCCACAACTGCTGCGCTTTTCTCGTGGAGGCACCCGCCCTCTTGCGGGGAGAAGAGTATGTGCACTAAGAATACAGGGTTAGGCTTCTGTCCATTAGACTTATGTATTACCGGGGTCTGTCTCGTACCACTTCGTGGAAGGACTCATTTTCAACAACAACTATATTTATTACTTCTTGTTAATCGAATGTGTACCACAACAGTGCGTCCTGAACAATTAGCTGAGCAGCTTTACTCATATGGAGGTCCAGTGTGTGCTTAAAGGCCGGATCCCGCGACCAGGCAAGAAGTTGAAAATATGGCATCGGGAGGGTAGATGTGGCCCGCGACGAACAATCTTGTACCGGATTTGCTGCAAAAAAGTGTAAAAAATCGTAAGGGAGGGCGCATACGCGGCAATACGAACTAATGACGCACCTTTCTTCCAGTTTCTGCCTGCAAACTCGCCTCCAAAGTCCATCCACAGTGAAACGAAAGCTTCAGGACGCAAAAAAGCATGGAAACAGTCACTTGTAAGTGAATCGTAGAGTTTTCCTTGAGCGGAAGAATCGCTGCGCGGAGGGGGGGGGGAGGGCGTGCTCTTAGAGTTGAGTTGTTCTGTGCACGTACATACGGCAATCAGAATGAAGGTTCTAAATATTAAGGTAGATGCATGCTTTTTTTTCTAGCTTTTTTTTCCTTTGGCTATTCTCAATGCTCTATATGTGGTGGAAAATGATGGCGGATTTTGCCTTTAACAGATCGCATGAGGAAACGTCTGGGTATTTAGCAATGCGCCTTCCTCAGTAGGTTCTTTTAATTGCAAGTGTCGAAAGCGATGGCGCTCCAGTGAGAGCCAACAGTGCAAGTAACCCCACCCATGCGACCAACATGGTATGCGCCTCCAAATACGAGTCCATGGTGCAAGTAGGGGTAGGGTCTATATATGGAAGCGGAAGATTACTGCCCTGATACTCACGTTGTTGTGTAAATGAATAACAGCTTAGTCGAAGAGGAGCATGATAAGTAGGGCCCATTTACCGCGGGAAACGAAAGGCTTAGCCCATGAACGTGGGACATTTTTTACGAGTGTAATACAAATAGTATACGTGGTCGGGTGAGCAAACAGTAGATCGAAACAGTACGAAAGAAAAGATCAGCCAGAATGTTATCATGTCAGATTGCCTCAACTCCATATAGTACCAGCCTTATGGCCTGGTACCCATTGAGTCGATCTTCAAGCTAGCGTAAGTGCAAATTTTTAGATTTCACACAGCACGTGGGACTAATCCATGGAAGATTATAATCTTGTTGGCTTGACATTTACACTGAGGAAAATACCATTTTTGTGAAAAGGATGAGTCGCCGTTGATCAATAAGCATCCTGGGATGCGGCACGCATTCTACTTCCATTCAGAATCGTAGTGACTTACTGAATGGCCTATACAATGACTTGCGGGGCCAGCCGATGTACGAGTCAGTGTTCTTGTCCTCCTATGCGAAGCTCTGGAACCAATTTACCGGCCCGTTGTGTGAGGGGGACGTGGCTGGCCTGGGCGGGAGTCCCCTGGACTTGAACCCAGGACCGCGCGGGTGGTGAGCGCGCCACTTGTCACTACACCATCTCCGCCACACCTTTTTACCATTAACTGATTATACTCATGAAAGAGGGAAAGAAATAAGTAATAAAACAGAAGTAAAAAGTTAAAAGGTAAATAAAAGTTGGAGTGGAAGAATCATTTGAGAGGTTATAGAGAGGATCTAAAAGCGTAAGATTGTGATGAACTGGGCCCAGATGTACGTCCACATCGGAGAGCAAAAGAGGCGTCCCGTTAACGGCTGTGTATTGCCGTGCTGACTCTTCCAGTTCATGCACACGTCTCTGCCTCTCTCTCGTCTGACCCTCCGCCCATCTCACAGCAACGCCCCTTGCTGCCCTCAGATATGGACTGTAAATCACTCCAGTGCCTGTGTGCAAAGAATGGTACATCAAATATGAATAAGTGACTAACAAGGATCATCTGAGGACTTCCGAAACACTTAAGCCATACCGTTAATTTCCCTGTCCAACCGACGGATTTCCGGATTGCTAAATCCATCAAGCTGTTGTTCAGCGACGTCTCGCAGACTTCTCGGCAGAACATCGTAGACTGGAAAAAAGCCTTTTACCGTCTTTCCTCTATCTAAACAGTCTCTTATTCTCTTTGTGTACGTCATAAAACCTACGGCGCTGTTTGCCGACGGAGGAGGGGGCATTTTGCACTTCAACGACTTCCCATCGACGTGTCGACCCATCTAGACAGCCTCTTCTCGAGTTGACAGGTTTTACCATGATGGCTTGACGAGCTTGCTCCAGCTTCACAAGAGTTCACAGGTTTCACCAGAGTGAGACTTGTAAACCAGAACTAGTGAAGCAACGAAAGTGCAAAATGCCCCCCCCCCCCCCCCCCGTCGGCAAACTGCGCCAAAAGCCTGTATAGAAGCTCAACGCTGAACTATGGAAGAAACTCACCTGATACTTCATTGACGTCCTGCTTCGGCGAACTCGGTGGGCTCAGCTTCTCATTTTGCTCTTTACTATCGACTGCTGCAGCGTACTGTAAAGTAACTCAAGTCAACGGGCTGCTCAAGAAATCAATAAGAATTTTCTGGTGCTGGTCAAGGAGCAAGGGTGTACATTCATTGCATCACATAAGTAGGCAGGCGTTGCAAATGACACCGCGCAGGCGCCATTCGGGCCAAGAGCGACCTAATCGATTTAGCATGTAGGTGCTAATTATTTGGAGTTCTTTAGCTAGGCCATGCTTTGCAGAAAGCTTAACGACCCACGCAGTGGCCTAGGCTCTCCGTATCTCAGTGTAGGGTGGGCACATGGTATGATCGCATTGACCTCGAAGGGCACTGACTTACTTATCGGCTGTTGTAGACCTATATTCTTTTATCATAAAT